ATACCGGGGCGGCTCCAGCGCCGGATGAGGAGACGGAAATCACGGCACAGGGACCACAGAGCCGGCGGCAAAACAACTGGCGATATTGAAGTCAAAGACAGAGGAGCAGCAGCGACAGGAGCACAGCGGGTACAGCCATACAGAGTGCCTGGGATGCGCGGTCGGGACTGAGTAAAGGTTGGGTGGGGGGTTTTTTTTCTTTTTCTTTCTTTTTAATTTTTCTCTTTAATATGTTGCAATTGCCCAGACTGGTCCAGTACGACATCTCAAACCTTACAGGGACACACAGCATGAAAACGCCCCCGATGCAGGGCCCCGGGGAGCATTCCTGGCACGCTCCCAAAGCCGTGGGCGCACGTGCCAGTGCCACGGGCGTCGCAGCGGGGCAGCTCTGCGGCACACGCCAGCACCGCTGCAGCGTGGGGATGGCTCAGAGAATGTGGGGCCGAGGAGTGCAGGGGGTTCACTGGAGGGGACAGGTTTTCCTGCAGCTGCCCTGCCGCCGGTTCCAGGCTCCATTTCCGACACCATGGAGGAGGGAGCTCTCCTGGCTGCAGTGGTGCTGAGGGCCACAGCGCAACCCAAAGCTGCACGAGGCAAGGATGGACACCCCGTGCCTGCGCAGCCAGAGCTCTGGCTCCTGGTGCTCTGCCAAGGGTTCCCTGCCAAGCCCAGTGGGTCTCAACCTCTCCAGCGGTGGCAGCTGCAGAAGGATCTGCAGGAGGTTGCAGGGGAATAGAGCCCACTGGAGAGAGGAACATGTGGAGAGAGGAGCAGCAGTGCCTGGGTGCATGTGGGGGTCACCCCTGACATGCTAGCGTGCCCTTCCAGCTTTTTCAGACGAGGCACCTGCACGGGAGTCCTCTGGCCCTGTGAAAGGCCCGGAGCCCCTTGCACTCAGCTTGGGGCTCTGCCACATGGTAAAGCCCTCTGGAGCCCCTGCCCAGAGAGATACCCTTCCTACACCCCGAGGGGAGGGGATGGGCAGTGGATGGGGAGGGAGGCGGGGGTCTCTGGGCACTGCGGTGGGCAGGGCTGCCTGGCCAGAGCTGCGGGGGCGGCTCCCACGGCGGGGGCACTGGTAGACCTGCTACGCAGCTGGGGCAGCTCCCGCCACTCAAAAGGGCTCAATTCCTTCACAGCTGCCAGGGCAGGGCCAAGCATGGCTGGGGAGTCATGACCCTGACAGGGGGGTCCCCACACCCTGCTCGGCCCTGCACAAGCCCAAGTTGCCCAGTGTGGCCGTGGGCTGCCAGGTGCCTGCGACAAAGTGGGTCCCGGTCCCTGCCCCCCGCATGCACGTGGCAGCCTCCGGTGACCCCCGCGGCCGAGCAGATTTTCATGCTGTCTCCAGGATTTGATATCAGCATGGACCAGTCTAACATCTCGCAGGTTTTTTCTACTGGCTACTGGAATGCGCTCGTTTGGCTTAGGGGTCCTCGATGTCGAGAAACTCTTGCTTGGGGGGGGCCATGCCGCGGTACCAGGCACACGAGCCGTCGCTCCTCTTGATGCAGGCGTAGTGCTTCGCCTGCCGCCCATCCACGTTGTTCTTCTCCATCGCCCAGTCTGTCCAAAGACACTCGTCCGAGGAGGAGACGAAGCAGGGGATGGAGAGGCAGCGCGAGATCTGTGCACGACAGAGACTGTCACCCATCACCCCGACGGGGGACACTGGGCTGGGAGGGAGCAGTGTGGGGCAGTTGGGTTGGGGGTCCTGCACGGCTCTGCTTCATTCACTCCCCCATCTCTTAACACAGATTCCAGGCTGACTCTGCACTGTTAGGCATGCTGGGGACATGACCCTGATGCAGGGGGACTGAGGGAACCCCTGGGTGCTGGTCCCAGGGCTGGCTTCGGTTCCCAGCCAGAGGGAGCCAGAGGCTCAGCCACCCTTCCAGTCTGCCTGGCCATGCTGTCTCTGCACAACTTCATCCTTGAAGGACAGGGAAGAGCGTCTCCCCACAGAACCCACCCCTCCCTGGGGGCTGCAGATCCCCCTGGTGTGGGATGTGTGGGGGACAGCCTGGTCACTCACCTTGCACTCGCAGCCCATCTGGTACCGCTGGTTTAGGCTCTTCTTCTGGGTTGGGGTCAGCGAGTCCCAAGTGGAGACCAAGTCGCAGAGTGTGATGTGCATCTTGCCATTGCCCTCCGACTTGCCTGGGGAGAGGCCAGACAGACCACTCAGGGGATCCCCCCCAGTGCCCCAGGACCCCAAACTGACTCGAGGTGCTTGGTCCCCTCACTGTGCACTGTCTCTGGTGACCCCCCAGGGAGCAGAGGCTCATCCCCCAGCTGCCTCCAGCACAGCCAGGGCTGCCAAGTGTAGCCAGGACACAGCTGGGGGGTCCCCCAAGGGCTAGTGGTAGGAGCTTGAGGGACGGGGGGGGAACATGCCCAGGGAGCAGGCACACACATCAGGTGTCTGCAGGGGTGGGTGAGGCAGCAGAGTCAGCACTGTCCTGGCACCCCTCGAGCACCCTCCCCTCCAGTGCCCACCTGCGATGAGATACTCCTTCTTCCCGCCGGTGTCCAGCAGCCGGCCGCACACAGCAGTCGACGGAGCCGTGTAGATGAACTCTATGTCCTGGTCGGGGCCCTTGAACATCTGGGGAGCAGAGGCAGGAGTGAGTGGCTGGTGCAGGGGTGCCCCATCCCCCTCAGCCTCCTGCCCTGATGTGCCCTGTTACCTTGATCTGCTTGATTTCATACTGGATGCGTTTGATCGGATTCCCGTATATATCATTCCCCGAATCCACCTCTTTTGCAGAGACGGCCTTGGCTCGGATCACTGCAAGGGAAAGGTGAGGTAAGTGAAGGTGACCAGTCCCACTCAGCCCCTGCATCCCACAGTGATTCCCACACCCATAAGGGGCTACTGCCCACAGCAGACCCCACTGCCCTCCCCGCAGATGCTCAGCTGCCCACAGAGCCAACTGTCCCCTGCTGTCCCCAAAGGAACGGGGCTCTGGCACGTGCATGACAGTGACTGGCAGCATTGCAACAGCACCCTCCAGGTAGGTGAAAAGGAAAGGTCATCCCAGGTTTGCCCGGCCCTGCTGCCACCGCCTGTGCCAGACCGTTCACCCTTCGCCAGCGCTGGCTCAGTCTCTGATGGATTCCTGGGTGCAGGCTGGCCCTGCCTGGACTTGTGCCCATCACTCAGATGGCACAGAGAGTTAAAACCTGCCTGCAGTGTCCTGGGAGCACCGCGGTGTTTGTCCCACTGTCATTAATTAAACCAGTCCTTGACAAGGGCCCCATCCAGGTGCCCGAGTGGCCTGGCCGGGCCGGAGGAGGGAAGGGCAGAGGGAGTGATTTGGACAATCATCTTCTGGAAAGAATCACCTTACAGAGGGTGGCAGAGCCACGTCCCCGTGCCACAATCCCAGCTGCTCACCAAGGCCAGTGTGGGCACCTGCACTGCCCACCAAACACCAGCACCTTTGGCTGGGGTCCCCAGCCTCACCAGACCCTTGCTAGCCTCTCTGCACCCGATGCTGGGAGAGCAAGGGTCCCAGGACAAGGCTGCCCTTGCACCCTGGAGCACGGGATCCCTGTCCCACCACAGTGGGGTCCCAGCTGCCCCAGGGCGATGCTCCAGCTGATGGTTCCTGCCTCATGTGGAGCATTGTGCTGTGCAGGCGCAGAACCCACATCCTCCCAGGACTGGGGCCACGGGTGTTGCTTCCTGCCCTTGCTCCTGAAAAACAATCTGGGACACCGAGAGCCATGGCAGTGGGAGGAGGCAGTGAGGGCCCAGCCAGCAGCCCCAAGCAGCCTGGCCAAAGGCAACAGCCCTCCCAGCACTGGTGGCCCTGAGGCGGTCCCAGCGCTGGGTGCTGAGGGACAAGGTTGGGAGCCCCAGGGCCAGAGAGGTGCGGCACCCTGAGCCTGGGGATAGCTCTGCCATGGCAGGGTCCCTGCGGTCACGCTGCCAGCACAGCCCAGGATACACGATCCGGCATGTGAGTGCTCAGCACGTGGCAGTGACCCACAGGGTGCTGGGCAGGGCGGGCAGCCAGCTCACCCTTACTCACCGGCTGGGACATGGGGCTGGCTTGGTGCTGTGCTGTGTGGGTTGCCTGGGTCCCCATGCTGAGACCTGCAGCTCCCAGCCTTGCCTGGCTCCCTCCACTAGTGTGAGGACTGGAACTCCCAGGCAGCACTGGGGATGCTGACAGTGCAGAGGACAGTGGCAGCCCCAAAGCTGCAGCTCCTGCTCAGCACTCTGAGTAGGGAGGAGGCCTGGTTGCAGGAGATGGGCTGGTAGGACTCCCCACTGCCAGGGTACCTCCATCCCATGGGAAGGCCAACCCCCTCTCCTGCAGGGCTCCCTGGTGCCCTGCCAGCCTTGTGTATGCATTGTGGGGTGGGGGACAGGGAGCTGGGCACTCTCACAAAGTTCATCCCTGCTCAAGTCCCCACCAAAAATGTGCTGGGCTGGGAGCGGCCAGGGACGTGTGGGGGTCACTCAGAGCTTGGCACAGAGGAGCTTCTCCCACCTGGCATGGCCAGGAGGGAATCTGACCTCAGTCTATAAATACTGGGCATGGGGGCACGTGGATGGGCTATTTCAGCTGAAGGTCAGGGGGGCACAGCCACACGTGGGCACCAGCAAGCACCAACAGAGCTTACTCTGGAAAGGTGAGGGTGGCACCAGCATGAGCAGGGAAGAGGCTTCCTGAAACAGCTGTCCCTGGTCAAGGGGGGCACTCGCTCTGTGCAGGGCTGGGGCATGCAATGGCTGCTGGTACCAGGGCTGCACTGGAAGCTTTCCCAGCCATGCTCCCATCCCTTGGGAAGGGCTGGGCTGTCCAGGCCCACTGGCAGCATCTCAGCTGTGCCTGAGGACAGCGCCCACTCCTCTGTCAGTAGCATGCTGGGGCCACTGCAGGCACGGGCCACCCCTTGCCCCTCGGCCCTGCGGCCGCTGTGTCCCCACGTGTGCCAGGCCCTGTGTGTCAGCGGCTTAACTTGGGTGCAACCAGTGCTGGCCCCATGGCTCCTGTGTGGGGAATGGTTACTGGTTCAGTGGGCTCCAGCCTTTTCCATTCACGTGCTGATGAATCACTTGACAAAAATGCAGCCCAATTCTGGGCGGATTTGTTCTGAACAGTGCGGCTTTGTGGAGGGGACGGCCGCGCTGTGCTTTCCCCGCCAAGACCCCACGGCGCAGCCAAGCTGCTCCGCGCCCGCCAGGAACCAGGGTGGCGGGGAGGGCAGCCACAGGGATGGTGGAGAGAGCCCTGAGGAGAGCCCGGGACAAGGAGACTGGGTGAGGGATGGAGAAAACCCCTGGGTGCATAGGGACCAGCAGTTAGACCTCCCCAAATGCCAGTGCCCCCACTGGCCATGTCACCCACCCCTCCTGCTGCCAGCCTGGGCAGCCACCAGCTCCAGGAGCAAAGCTGGGGACACACAGTCACTCAGTGCCACAAACCCACCAGGATGTCTCTCTGGACTTGCCAGTTGTGAGGTTTATCCACCCTGGCCCCACACAGGGTGCCCCAGCTCAGGACACTGCTGTGCCCACCTGTTCCCCATGGGCAGAGAGGCAGCACAAAGGTCCTTTAGCTCCAGGCCCCCTCCTCCCAGCCTAGGGTGTCCTGACTGG